TATTGTTTTTTTTTTTTCTTTGCTCAATCCATTACTAACATTTTTTTCTTTTTATCGAAAACGGCTTAAACTTATTACTCACAATCAGAAAAGATATAAGGTGTTGGATAAATAATAAATAAAATAAAATAAAATAATCAAAATATCACTGTAATAAATTATAAGAAAAACATTATAATTGTTTTCCACAAATCTTCCATATATAATCAAATGAAAATGGAGGTATAGTAGTAATAGTATTACAATTAAATATAAAATAAATTTTTTTATTGAAAATAAAATTTAATGTATTTAACCATCTTAAAAATCGTATTTAAGTATACAGTTCTTCTATAAACGAAATGATTTCAACCAAATTTAAAAACAAAATTATTAATTATTCTATATTTAAGTATAAACGGAATGATTTCAACCAAATTTAAAAACAAATTTATTTTTAATTTGGATGAAATCTTAAAATCAAATCAAAATGTTATACTCTAGTCTAAACAGGTTAAGAGGTATATAAAGTTCATCTTGATTAATGGTAAGCGTTAGATAGATAAATTATTGATTTTGAGATATATATACTGAAATGATATAATTTGTCAAAACATTTAATAAATACAAACAAAATTTCAAAACTTATACAACAAGTTCAAATAAATGTAGTTAATTCTAGGACCAATTTTCAAAACTTATACAACAAAGTTAATAGAAGTTAATTTGGTTACTTCTAGTAACAATGTTCAATTTGTCCTTTAAAAAATTGAGAATTCTTCAATTAGTGCTATTTTGACCTTAATTAAAAAAAATAAACAAAAAATTAAAGATGATTATATTTTATAACTAATATAAATTTTCTTTCGTTTCTACCTTCAATTGGACTAGTTATATATTTCTTACACATCACCTTTTTTTTAAAGACAATATTAATAAAATAAAAATGGTAATTTTCTTAAAATTCATCTATTTGTTTTAGAATGAAAAAACCGAATCTATCTCTCATGCTTAATTGGAACAGTGCAATAATATGCAGTGTTAAAATAACGACTTACATTTACCAATACAAAAATTACTAGTACAACACCCGTGTAATACACGGGTGCTTGCTAATTTTTTTCTTAAAATCTAAAATTAATGAGAAAAAGTACTTGAACTTTTAAATACCTTTTATAAAAATATATATATTATTATATATTTTGTATGACATGCACTTTTTATTTTTGTGACTTACATGTGTCAGATTATAATAATTTTTAACTTACAACATATAACTACATCAAAAATAAATATATCAATTGATAAAGAATTTTATTTTTCTAATAAAATTTAATAAATATTATTATTCTTTATTATTATAAAGATAAATATAATTTAATATTTCATATATACAATATGGATGTCAAATCGAAAATCATCAAAAGATGATTAATTTAATATATAATAATTGTAAAACTGATAAGAAATACAAAAGTTGTCAACTTTTAAAATACATTTACAATTCACTAGTTAATTGAAGGAAACAAATCAAAGTCAGTGATATATTAGTCACTTAGTGTCTCAATATTTAAAATTACAAATAATTATAGAGTTATATTAGTATAAATGATAAATGATAGTAAAATACCTAAGTTAGATAAATAATATTTATGTAATGTCCGAACCTAGATTATTAATTATTAATATATCAATATTATTTGTCCAAACCTAATTACGAAGCATGATTATTTGCCAAGTAGGATTACGAAGCACCAAAAACAGCCACGTAGGCTCAGCGCATTCAAGAATTATATATAGGGAGGATAACTTATAGCTCATATACATAATATAACGCTAAAATTCCACTAGTAATTCTCCTAAAAATATTTGATACAATATTTAAGATCGTCATTATTTAAAATGTTATGTTAATTATAATTTCAAATTAATGTTAATGCATAAAATAAAAATACTTTATCCTGAAAAAAAAAATAATGTTATTGCAGTAGTTATATAGCATGTATTTCATGAGACAAAATAACTAACTATTTACATTTATAAAATAACTAGTACAACACCCGTGTATTACACGGGTGCTTGATAAAAATTATTCTTAAATTTTAAAATTAATGAGAAAACTATATTAAATTTAGTTTATTTTTTTACAAAAAAAAAATATATTACTATATATTTTAGAATGATATGTGTTACTTATGACTTACATGTGTTATATTATATTAGTTTTTATTTTTTTTACCACATGTTTTTTTATTTTTTTTTTATTCGTAAATTGCTCATATATCTAATCTATTTAAAAATCATTGGTTGCCTTTAATTAGTGTCTCATAATCCAATCCTTAATCCAAGTAACTAAAAGACACTCTTCTATGCACACATATTCATAAGGATTCTACAGTCACTTCGTAATCTACGAGTGCCCCCACAAGGGAAATGCTACTAAAAGGATAATACTCCCTCCTATTTTTTTTAAATGTCATTCTAGCTTTTTCAACTATTTGCCAAATAAATGTCGTTTTGGATATTTTATACATATTTTTCCATTATTACCCTCATTTATCCAATAAATACATTACGTCTTTTCATATTCACTCTTCACTTTTTCTCAAAACATTCATCTCTATCTTCATTAAATAAGGTTATTATTGACAAAAAAAATATTCTTAATTAGTGTGCAACTTCTCAAAACGACATATATTAAAAATAGGAGGTAGTATTTGATAAATAAAATTTTTTAATTTTATTATTATCATATGGAGGTCTAATAACAATGAATGTCTGTCTCCATTTTTATTTTTAAAGGGCAAGTGGGATTTGTAATAATACCCATTACGGACCACTCCTGATTTCTTTTGATTTGTTTTTCGATTCGAAAGCTACCACCCCACAGGAAACAGCCACACTGCATGCTCTCTATTAAATGACACTAGAGGTGGCCAGTCAACGGGTCGTAGCCCGGCCCGGCCCGCCGGGCAACGACCCTCGAATACATGGCCCGTGACCGGCCCGCTAAGAACCAAGGGCAGGGCCAGTTCAAAGAATCGGCCCGAACCGTCGGTTCACAGACCGCTACGGCCCTTAAAAAGGAAAAATTAACAATGTGCTTGGTCCGACTCGGTCCGGTGGGACCAAAATAAAAAAAATGGAACCGGAATCGAACCGCGACCCTAAAGGTCCGGTTCAACGAACCGGCGCCCTTAGGAGGCCAGTTCGGGCCAGGTTGGTGTCGGTTCACGGGCCGGTTCGGCCCGTGGACATGTATAAATGACACCAATTATTTTCTCTATTAATTAATATAATAATAATTTATAACCAAATTCACCTCAGTATATCATGTATCTTAAGATAAACACACTCTTGTCCACATTTATTTATACTTTAAAATATATTTACCATAGTTCTAAGTGGTAGATATAAATTTTTAGGTTAATTATGTAGATATACGAGGGCGAGGAATTGAGAAGGCTGTATAAAATTTGATTGTCTGTTTGGTAGACAAATGCATTTAGTTTATAACTTATTTGGTTAGTTTATAAGATATTCAAATAAGCCTTACTTAGTAGAACGAGCTTTTTGAAAAAGCTCAAGTTTTATTTGATAAGCTTTTTAAGTAGTTTTTCAAATAAGCTAGTTGAATTTTTTTATTTCAGCTAACTTATTAAATGGTTTTACCAAACACTTTTATCATATAAGCTAGTTTTTCAGCTATAAGTCATAAGATATAACTTATAAGTCGAAAATTATTGATAACATATAAACTAGTTTAACAGCTAGTTTTACCAAATAAATTAAATTTGCATAAAGATATTTGTTGGCATTTGAATCGTGTACAAGAACCTTTAAATTACATGTACAAGAATTCTTACATATGATATTAATATTTCAAAATTGGACATTTTCAAAAATGTATTCCAAGTTCCAGACCATATTACTGGTTTGATAAATCTTGTTTAGGCAGTAATACGGATCCAGGCCCAATTAAAATCGGCCCATAGAAAAAAAATTGAGAAAAATATATGCAGAATCTTGTTTGCTGCACCAATTTTAATATATTTTGAATGTTGATATTCGAATAAGTTTAATGCCGAATTAAAATATCCTCTTCCATAAATAATTTTCCACACCATTTAAAAAGTAAACCTGTACACTAATAAAACTATGTTCCTGTGATAACAAGTTAAAAATCATAACTCAGATAATAAAACCCACTGACAAAGGTGAAAATATAGATTTGGTGACCAATTCCTACTTATAAAATAAAATTTTAATCATAAAGAAGGAAAAAAAAAAAAAAAA